TGTAATCTTGGCACTTGAACCGAGCCCTGCATCCGATTGCCGATGAAACGAGCCCTTTTGGCTTCGCTGGTCCAAGCCATGCACCCCGTCCTCCTCCGGCATCAGCTGCACTGAAGGTGGGGGCTCTCCTTACTCTCTATCTCCTTAGATTTGAGTGATTTTTTTAGTTAGCTTGAGTTGGAAGCTCTGCTCGTGTGTGGTAAGAAGTTATATTTTTCAGAAGAAAGCTTTGTTTCATATCCGGCCACCTCCTCCACGTAGCAAGTCCGGTCTTTCTCACCCACGGTCTTAGAGCATCTCCAGTCGTTGGCCCCCCAGGAGGCATAAAAATCGCCGCCTGGGGGCGAGCCGACGGTAGAATCGGCTCTGGGGCAGTTGGACATCCAGCTGTCGCCCCCAGGTCGCCCCCGGGCGCCGATATCGGCCCATTTCTGGCCGCTTTTCGGCCCACTTTCGGTGAAAAATGGCCCGATATCGGCGAGAAACGGCACATATTTGGCGTGGTTTGGCGTTGAATTCTCAACATAAATAATTTTTTTATCACATAGTTCATCACAGAAAATCAAATAGTTCAACAAAATAGCGCGACAACAAATAGTTCAATACAAATTATATAGTTCATCACACGTCGAGCTAGGCGTCGCCCTTGATTCTCCGTAGGTGCTCCACCAGATCCTGCTGCAATTGATGATGCACCTGTGGGTCTCGGATCTCCTACGCATACTGAGGTAGGCAGTTCAGGTTGCCGGTAGCTAGTGATCAACTTCGGCTAAAGGACCCTGCTTGTAGTATGGTTCAATGTCAAACACTGGCTCTTCCTGCTCGCTCTTGATGATCATGTTGTGCAAGCTGACACATCAAGTCATGATCTTCCACATTTGATCTTTCGACCAGGTCTGAGCAGGGTACCAGACAACAGGAAATCGAGATTGGAGCACACCAAATGCCCGATCGACATCCTTCCTGCAAGCCTCCTGCACCTTGGCAAAGTGGGACTTCTTGCCTCCTGGCACAATGTTTGACATAGTCTTCACAAATGTAGACCATCTCGGATAGATGCCATCAGCTAGGTAGTACCCCTTGTTGTAGTGCCGCCCATTGACCTCAAAGTTCACCGGAGGAGAATGACCTTCAACAAATCCAGAGGTCATTGTGAGTTCCTAGCATATCAAAGAAGGAGTGCCAAATCCAGAGGTCCTGTGTGGCCACCGCCTCAAGTACCACACTGCAACCGTCTTTGGTGCCTTTGTACATCCCCTGCCAAGCAAATGGGCAGTTCTTCCATTTTCAATGCATGCAGTCGATGCTTCCAAACATCCCAGGAAATCCTCTTCTGCATTCTGTGCTAGGATCCGATCAGTGTCTTCTGCATTGGGTGTTCGCAAGTATTGCGGTCCAAACACTGCCACCACTGCCCGACAGAACTTGTAGAAACACTCAATGGTGGTGGACTCGGCCATGCGCCCATAGTCGTCGAGTGAATCACCGGGAGCTCCGTATGCAAGCATCCTCATTGCTGTCGTGCACTTCTGGATTGAGGTGAATCCAAATTTGCCGGTGCAATTCTTCTTGCACTTGAAGTAGCTGTCGAACTCCCGGATGAAATTCACAATCCTGAGGAAAAGCTTTCGGCTCATCCGATAACGGTGCTGAAATACTTTGTCGCCGTGCAGTGGAGCGTCGGCAAAGTAGTCGAAGTAGAGCATGCAGTAGCCTTCGAGACGATGTCGGTTCTTTGCTTTCATCCGCCCCGGCGCCGAGCCACCTGACCTCACCGCTAATTTTCATTGCTCGCCAGCAGGCCAGCGAGGGCGGCGAGGACCATGAGATGTTCCTCTTCCTGGACGTCGGCCTTGGCTTCCTCGCGGGTGCCTCCTCGTCGTCTGAGTCCATTGCCGTGACAGGCAAATTTCCGAACACCTTGCGGGCGCGGTGGGCGCGCACCCGCTGCCACACTGCCCCTCCGCGGCCGCAACACCGGAAAAATCACACAACCGGTGGTGGAGAGGCTGCCTCAGCGAAACCTCCGCTCTTTTTTCGGCAGGGAATGAGCTATCTAGCGGTGGTGGGCGGTGGGCGGCGCCGGGATTAGCCGGTTGGCGGCCGAGCGCGGGGGGTGGGAGGCGAATCTGGAAGATAGGCTTGACTTTTCGCCTGATGGTGTGGGCCAGACGTGTTTTCCCTTGCGCCGGAGCCCTCGAGCACCCCCAGTACGCCGGGTTTGGCCTGCGATCGTCGGGCCCAAAAATGGGCCAAGCCGGCGGATTTCGGCGTCCCGGGGGCGCGACTGAGGCGTTTTTTCAGCGCTGGCGCGGAAAAAGTCGCCTGGAAGGGTCTATTAGGGATGCGGGTGGAGATGCTCTTACCTACAATCCTATCTAACTCGAGCACTGCCGGCAAGCATTTGCCGAGGTACGATGGTTCGTGCTCATCTCTCCCTCTCCGATCTGGTTGATTTTGTTAGAAATTCAATTTCGTTTTTACTGTTCTTGAAGGAATAAACAGATGAAACTCACCATGTTCTACCTGCAATTGCAGTCCTGCATCTCTCTCTCTCTCTCTCTCACATCAGTATGAATCATATTGGTATTTTTATTGCTACTTATGATTGATTTGCAGAATTGAACATATGACATAGTGCAGTTCATCTCCAGTATGTTCGTTCGTGACAGTACTATTTCAAAGACATTGTTGTTCGTCTACTGTACGTGTTCAAAAACAAAGGTTTCGTTTGATTGCTGCTCGGCATCCGGAGGCTTGAGTATTGCACCTAAAAGAAGGAGGCAAGGAGCTCTTATTATTATTTCTGATTTTTTTCATCACAAAAAAAAAACGGAGCTCTAATTATTTTTTATCTGATATTCTTTTTGCTTTGAGATAGACGCTAGAATAGTAACTGATTTTCAGTTTCAAGCATGTCAATGTATGAATGTATAATTACAATCAAAGAATCTTCTATAAGGCTAAGCATTTGGGATATTATGTCTTCAAACCTATAACATCTCTTGACATGTAAGAATAATTCTTTTCTGTCGTTACAATATCACTATATGATTGTTCTGGTTTGATGACAATGTGCTCATAGCCTAAAAGGTTCCTGCTTGCTGAGAGGATCAAGTATGGCCCGTTATGATCATCATTTGATTTAATTGTTCTATGCCGGTTGGCAGCCTATTAAAAAATGTGTCACAAAATGGAGTGTATACGTTGTCCTACCCAAGAACCATTCCATTTTTTACACCTTCGGTTATTCTCTCAAAATGCAAAATGGTAGTCAACGCAACCTAATACCCATTTAGTGCATTACACCTCAAGGCTAACCAATTATAATGATATTTCTTTTATTTTTCTGCAGTGCACTTCTAATAGACAATCAAATTGTATTATATTGAATTTTTAAGTAAAATCTTATCAAACTATATGTTCCTTCTATTGTGTTTTAACGAATTAAGCAAATATGGAGAGATACTATGTAATACAAATTTTTTCTTTGAATTGTTTTAAGAATCTGAGTTCGCATAACATTCCATAAATGGTTCAAAAAGCATATATTTAGTACCAAAAAATTCCATAAAAGGTTCTTACTATACATCTTATACCTATGCAGTACTACAAATTCCCGCAGCAATGCGCGGGGTATCATCTAGTTAGCCAAAAAAAATAAGCATTTTCTTGATCCACGAGGCCATAAATTTGAGAAGAATACCAGTGGTATAACTGAAATATCACATATGAGAGCAGAAATACAAGTGAATTGCAAACTTGTGTGTTTTGCCTCCTCCTACACCAGCAATAACATACCAGGATGATTTCTAAGAGCTACTACTCACAATGCATCCTACCAAAGCGTGTTGTAAGCAACATGTTCCACTACAAAAATCAACACAACAAACAAGCTATCATCCATTTTTTATTCACAACTCTGAGAAAATAAGACAAACTAACTAATCTCGACGAGAACGGCTCCATCGCTCATGAAGTCGTGATGGCCTCGGGCTTCACCACGTCTGTCCTTCTTCAGTCACACAAGCTAAGAGCCAGCAACACTTGTGAATACAAAGCAAGCTAAGGCAGCAACACAAGAACCCATCAATCAGGCCCTCGACGAAACTGATGATCCACACCACACCATCCATCGGTCTTCTCGCCCTCATGTGGCTGCGGGTCCAAAAGGAAAAGGAGGAAATACGTGCGTGTGCCGAGGCGAGTATTCCTAGAATTGTCAAGGAATCTCTGGCGTGTTTAGTTTCGTGGGTGGGGAAGGGCTGCCCATGGTAATGTCTGTAAAAAAGAAAAGCATTGTATGTATGGGAAAAAATAGATGTATCTTATGTCGCACCATAATTCCAGGGCCACGGATACCACAGGCACTCATTCCACGCGAAAATGAACATGGGTGTATAACGGGCACCCAGGTTTCATATCCCAAAAATTCAGTTTTTTTTTGAAATTTTCAGATATTTCTTGGTGCTCCAATGTATTTCCCCACTAGACCTCCGATATTGTGTTCATCCAATTCAGTCTCCTGTTCTATAGTTTATGATCTGTATTAAAAATTCCTTTTCAAATTAAAATAATTGTACATATGAAAATATATTCCATAAGAATATAGTTGTACAATTTTAATATTATCAAAATTTCTCATCCTTCAAGCGGCAAAAGATAGTATACCAGGTTGCACATTAACACCGTTAAAGCAAGCACATAGAAAAGCTGGAGTATATTGGATGGAGTCGTTCACCCAACATATAAATCAGCTTGACAATTCCTTGACAATTACAGGAATCACAACCAAAGTCACTTCTGTAGTTTCCGAAACCGATGACTTGGTCAGCTGGTAATCGTTTTCAGTTCTGGCAAATTTCACCCAAAAACAAAACAGAAGATTCAGATTGCACACAGACACAATGAGCAAGGCCATAGATGAGTCAAGCATGTTTTGGCACCAATGGCCCCTTTATTAAAGAAAAACACACAACGAAAACTTTCAGTTGCATGTACTACTTGCATGTATTCACGTCACAGCCGCATGAGAGTTTACGAAGTGTACAAGTGCCTTTCGGCTCCGCTGGATCATTGCAAGTTATCTCATTGCAGCATATTGTTGCATAATAAGTTTTCTCATGATCATGGCTGCAGTGGCATAGGTCGCACTGTCTTGACACGGTTGTCTGAGGAAAGTATGTTGCTGGTAGAAACCTTCTTGCTGGCTGTACTGGGATGCTGCTTGTGATGTTGGCGTCCTCTCCTGTTCATCATGTAGCATACATTCATAATTATAGTTCTTCTGGGTGAAAATTAACCTGATAAACTAAGTGTGTACACACACTACATCATCTCGCTGACATCTCTTTGTACGTATAGCAGGAGAAATCAAAATTCATTTTTTTTCTCAAACACGCAGGAGAGCTGCATATCATTTCAATAAAAAAGAAATATGTACAAGGGTGAGGGCAAGAATTCTGTCGACCCAAACACACCACAAGGCCCTAAGGAACAAACTAAGAAATATGTACTATTAAGTCAAAAACACCTAAACTGATTGATCAATACGACAGCACCCAATTTGATTATTTATGCAAACAAATCAGTTTATCCACAAGATTTATATGGAATGGTAAGATTGGTATGAATAGGATAAACATACCATGGACTTGATCGCTGGTGCACAGAAGCAGGAGGCACATGAGGGTGACAAACATCTGCGAAGATTTTGCCATCAGTATATCTTATAAGAAAGAAGAAGAATTCACTTTGGGGTTTGTGTGTTTTGTGTTGTGAATGGCTAAGGTATAGAGAATGGGAATATATACACATACATGATATGGCGCAAGATGGCAGCCAGTTGTTGTTTGCGCCAAAAAAGATATGCATTTATTGAATGGATTAATTTATTTTATTGCCTGCCATTAATACTCCCTCAGGTATCTGTGTCTTGCATGTAAGTTTAATACAGATTAATGCAATTCAGGAAAGTAAAAAACTACTTAAATTACAGATTTATATTACATGCTGGATGTACTGATTGACCATGCTAACGGTATTGCCTTCTATTTGTTGATGATCGAAAACTTTCCAATTGCTTTCGTTCCCACTGCATGTTGAACCATTCGGGGAAAACAGCTGGACGATGGACAATTCATTTAGGAAAACCATATCTTCTATTGTTCTACATATAATAGATAAGAAAAGGCCACTAAAACTACGATCTTGTGTTCATCCAATTCCGTCCTCCAGTTCTATACTTGCGATTTGTACTAAAAATGTTTTCCCATCAAATTAAAATAATTAAACATATGAAAGTATATTCCATAAGAATATAGTAGTACAAGTTTTATTGTCAATATTGGTCATCCTTCAATCGGCAAAAGATAGTATATCAGGTTGTACATTAACACCATTTAATCAAGCACCACTAGTAGAAAACAGGGCTTTGGTTGAGGCCTGGTAAGAGCATTAATCCCTGTTCACTCCCGAACCGGGATCAAAGGGGGCATCAGTCCCGGTTCGTGAGGCCAGGGCGCTGGCCGGGCCTTGGGGGCCATTGGTCCCAGTTCGCCTGAGACTTTTGGTCCCGGTTTCGGATACGAACCGGGACCAATGGGCCTCGCTCCTGGCCCAACACCTTTAGTCCCGGTTGATGGCTAGAACCGGGACCAAGGTTTTTCTTTAGTCCCTATTTTAGCCACCAACCGGGACTAAAGAGTTCCCTATATATACCCGCGCCCTTGCCCGTGAACAGAGCCACTGCTCTGTTTTTTTTGGCCGGCCGTGGGAGAGGTGTGTTGCTCTAGCTCACCTCCTATGCACACTAGTAGAATGGCTGTGCGTTGCTACGGGCTCTTCAAAAAAATAAAATGATTTCATATATAAATATAATGCAAAAGATTTGGGACATACCCCATCTACTTTTCTTGGCTCAAAAGGATTGAGGCCCCTCCAGATACGCTCAACTTCGAGGATATTTTCTCTTTGAATGCCACCAAATTGGTAAGATCGTTTAAAAGGTGATTGTAAATGGCATTTATAATTAGTTGATATTTTTAGATACAATTTTTTTCTGAACTGTGAATGATTGTAGGAGAGTTTCCTACAGTCTTGTATGTATTAAAATGATCAGAATGTCAGGGCTACATGTTACAATATTTTCATAGCATTGTTGATTGAAGCTTGGAGTAAATCCGCGACGAGAACAAAAATGAGTGGTGACAGGGGGTTTCCCGGTCGAACTCCTCATCGATGGTGAAATTGACGACCCATCACAGTGTTCGGCAGGACAAATGATTATTTATCCAGTTCAGCCAGCTATGCGATTTATCCAGTTCAACCATCTTTCAGTGAAGCCCATAGCACTCATAATCTCGATCATCACAGTGTGCCCAATGATGAAGGACTTTTCCCCAAAGGATTTATTGAAGAAGAGTTGTATGTGATGCAATCAGAAGGTTTTGTCAATCCTAAAGGTTCTAACAAAATGTGCAAGCTCCAGCGATCCATCTATGGACTGGTGCGAGCATCTATACGCTTTGATGAGTTGATCAAAGTATATATTTTTATACAAACTTGCGGTGAAGTCTGTATTTACAAAAGGTGAGTGGGAGCACTACAGCCTTTCTGATAAGTATACGTGAATGACATATTGTTGATCGGAAATGATGTAGAATTTTCTAAAAAACATAAAGGAGTATTTGAAAGGAGTTTTTCAAAGAAAGACCTCGATAAAGCTGCTTACATATTAAGCATCAAGATCTATAAAGATAGATCAAGACGCTTGATAAGTTTTTCAATGAGTACATACCTTGACAAGTTTTTGAAATAGTTCAAAATTGAACAGTCAAAGAAAGAGTTTTTGCCTGTGTTGCAAAGTGTGAAGTTGAGTAAGACTCAAAGCCCGACCACGGCAGAAGATAGAGAGAGAATGAAAGTCATTCCCTATGCCTCAGCCATAGGTTCTATAAAGTATGCCATGCTGTGTACCAGACCTATTGTATACCCTGCCCTGAGTTTGGCAAGGGAGTACAATAGTGATCTAGGAGTAGATCACTGGACAACGGTCAAAATTATCCTTAGAGGACTAAGGAACTATTTCTCGGTTATGGAGGTGATAAAGAGTTCGTCGTAAAGAGTTACGTCGATGGAAGCTTTGACACTGATCTAGATGACTCTAAGTCACAATCCGGATACATATTGAAAGTGGGAGCAATTAGCTAGAGTAGCTCTGTGCAGAGCATTGTAGACATAGAAATTTGCAAAATACATACAGATCTGAATGTAGCAGACCCGTTGATAAAACTTCTCTCACAAGCAAAACATGATCACACCTTAGTACTCTTTGGGTGTTAACCACATGTCGATGTGAACTAGATTACCCACTCTAGTAAGCCCTTTGGGTGTTGGTCACATAGCGATGTGAACTATGGGTGTTAATCACATGGTGATGTGAACTATTGATGTTAAATCACATGGTGATGTGAACTAGATTATTGACTCTAGTGCAAGTGGGAGACTGAAGGAAATATGCCCTAGGGGCAATAATAATGTTATTATTTTATATTTCCTTATATCATGATAAATGTTTATTATTCATGCTAGAATTGTATTAACCGGAAACTTGATACATGTGTGAATACATAGACAAAACAAAGTGTCCCTAGTATGCCTCTACTTGACTAGATCGTTATTCAAAGATGGTTAAGTTTCCTAACCATAGACATGTGTTGTCATTTGATGAATGGGATCACATCCTTAGGAGAATGATGTGAGCGACAAGACCCAGCCGTTAGCTTAGCACTATGATCGTTTACTTTATTGCTATTGCTTTCTTCATGATTTATACATGTTCCTATGACTATGAGAGTATGCAACTCCCGAATACCGGAGGAACACTTAGTGTTCTATCAAATGTCACAACGTAACTGGGTGATTATAAAGATTCTCTACAGGTGTCTCCGATGGTGTTTGTTGAGTTGGCATAGATCAAGATTAGGATTTGTCACTTCGATTGTCGGAGAGGTATCTCTGGGCCCTCTCGGTAATGCACATCACTATAAGCCTTGCAAGCAAGGTGACTAATGAGTTAGTTGCGGGATGATGCATTATGGAACAAGTAAAGAGACTTGCCGATAACGAGATTGAACTAGGTATGGTGATACTGACGATCGAATCTCGTGCAAGTAACATACCGATGACAAAGGGAACAACGTATGTTGTTATGCGGTTTGACCGATAAAGATCTTCGTAGAATATGTAGGAGCCAATATGAGCATCCAGGTTCCGCTATTGGTTATTGACCGGAGTTGTGTCTCAGTCATGTCTACATAGTTCTCGAACCCGTAGGGTCCACACGCTTAACATTCGATGACGATTTGTATTATGAGTTATGTGATTTGATGTACCGAAGGTTGTTCGGAGTCCCGGATGATATCACGGACATGACGAGAAGTCTCGAAATGGTCGAGACGTAAAGATCGATATATTGGAAGGCTATATTCGGACATCGAAAAGGTTCCGAGTGATTCAGGTATTTTTCGAAGTACCGAGAGTTACGGGACTTCACCCGGAGAAGTAATGGGCCTTATTGGGCTTTAGTGGAGAGAGCGGAGAATGGCCAAGAGGTGGCGCGCGCCTCCCCCCTGCCCAAACCGAATTGGACAAGGGATGGGGGCGCGGCCCCCCTTTCCTTCTCCCTCTCCATCTCTTTCCTTCTCTCCTACTCTGAATAGGAAAGAGGAGGGGAATCCTACTTGGACTAGGGAGTCCTAGTAGGATTGCCCACACCTGGCTCGCCCCCCTTGGGCCGGCCACCTCTTCCCTCCCCTCCTTTATATACATGGCTAGGGGGCACCCCAACAACACACAAGTTATTCTTAGCCGTGTGTGGTGGCCCCCTCCAAAGTTTTACACCTCGGTCATATTGTCATAGTGCTTAGGCGAAGCCCTGCGCTGGTGACTTCATCATCACCGTCGCCACGCCGTCGTGCTGACAGAACTCTCCCTCGGCCTCAACTGGATCAAGAGTACGAGGGACGTCACTGAGCTGAATGTGTGCAGATCGCGGAGGTGCCGTGCGTTCGGTACTTGGATCGGTTGGGTCGCGAACACGTTCGACTACATGAACTGCGTTACTAAACGCTTCCGCTTTCGCTCTACGAGGGTACGTGGACACACTCTCCCACTCGTTTGTGACACCCTCGATTTAATCGTACACTAATCATGCACGCAAATGTGTACGATCAAGATCAAGGACTCACGGGAAGATATCACAACACAACTCTAGACACAAATTAAAATAATACAAGCCAGGGGCCTCGAGGGCTCGAATACATAAGCTTGAATACACAAGAGTCAGCGGAAGCAACAATATCTGAGTACAGACATGAGTTAGACAAGTTTGCCTTAAGAAGCCTAGCACAAAAGCAACATCGATCGAAAAGGCAAGGCCTCCTACCTGGGAGCCTCCTAACTAGTCCTGGTCGTCGACGGTCTCCATGTAGTAGTCGGCATCAACGGTGGCATCTGACTCCTGGGCTCCGACATCTGGTTGCATCAACCGGAAAGAAGAAAAGGGGGAAAGGGGGGAGCAAAGCAACCGTGAGTACTCATCCAAAGTACTCGCAAGCAAGGATCTACACTACATATGTACCATTATCAAAAGAAGGCTGTATATGTGGACTGGGCTGCAGAAATGCCAGAATAGAGGGAAAGCCTAGTCCTATCGAAG